CATACAAACTCGATATACCCCTAGCCCTACTAAATGGAGGAGAATCAATTAAGAACTACAATAAAAAACAATTATAGTTTTTTTTTTTACATTATAGATGCATATAATATATGATATTTATATTGTAAATTACATATGCATCAATTTTATATTCAAGTCTTTTCATAATGTACAAACACACATTTACTGACTTTTAAAAAGATCCTGATGTTGAAAAAAGCAAGTTCACGTCGTTATTTGTCAACTACTCAAATGCAGATTCAACATGAGCTCTTTCAGACTGTCCGCTGTGACCAGTGACCGCTCTGTGACCAGCAGCAAACTCTGCTCAGAGGTCATGAGAGTCTGTCACTCGGCTGTCAAGCTTCATTGACGTCTTGATGTAAAATCCACGAGGTGAAACTAAAATGTAGAACTAGAGTTTTCGAGCTGATGGAGAGGCACTCGAGGGAGTACTGCAACCACAGCCCTTGTCAGAAGTAACATCCTTTTTCAACTGACACGAAAGAGCATTTCAGACCAGAGTCCTGCACGGGTTCGGGTGACCCGCAAATTTTGCTCAAACGGGTGAAAAATATCCAACTGTGTCGGATACGGATGCGGGTCGGGTCGGACACGGGGAAACGCGGGTCTAAACACGGGTTCAAAACAGTCACGTGCAAATGTAAAAATAAATGCAGATTTTTAAGAACACATCTACAAAACTATTCCTGCCCTGTATTTCAAGTTGATAAAATATTTGTTTTTAGTTTATTTGAGCCCGCGCCCTCCCATGAGTCTCTAGGCCTAACGTTACATTCACTTTTAAAAAATCACAACCACTCGAACTGCTGCATGAGTCGTCTAGATGGATAGTGAGGAGTTGAAAAAAAAAATAGCTAGAGGAGATTATAAAGTTGTCGACAATACTTCATCGAAACTCAAGACGGTGTATGTAGCGTTTAGGATTCGCATACAACTGGACTTTTCTTTCATTTAAAATTATCACATAGCCTACACTGTTGTTATTGTCTAATTTTAAACTGTTAAGTAGGCCTATGTGTGGTGTGAAATTGTCTGATGTGCTAGACAAAATTGCATTGTTTTGTGGTAACGTTAGCCATGTTCTGTATAGGCTATCGGCTTTTTGACAGCTTCGGCTGTTGTCCTTGTCTTAAGGCAAGCCGCCAAAGGCAATAAAAATGTGAAAAAAGTGTGTCTATAATGTGATTGGCTAAACTGATTTTACTTCGGGTGCGGGTCGGGTCTCGGTTCTATTTTAAGCGGGTCGGGTCGGGTTGCGGATTTTAATTAGTGCTGCTGTCGGAAAACGGGTCGGATGCGGTTTTAAGCACTGCGGGTACGGGCGGGTGCGGATTTACAAAATCGGACCCGTGCAGCTCTCTGTTTCAGACACTAAAAACGAACGACCACGGCTAAACATTTACACATGTGAGAGGGAACAATGAAATGTAACGACATCAGTGTCCAATATTCTGTTAATAATTTTCAGACTAATTCTAACTTTAGTTCTATTTTTTTATTCAAAGACAAAGCAATTCTGATTTCTGTGCCAGTCGAAAGGCTGAAACAACCTCAAACTAATGTAGAAGCTGATGGCAGCCAGGTTTCATTACACCATAGTCATAGTTCAATCATGACAACTCTCGGAATAGTTTTAACATGTTATTGAATATGGAGATGTTATTGTATTTGCTTCTACTGTGATCATGTAAGATATGCTGCTGCTGCATAAATAGACAAAATAGACATAAATCCCGTAGCAGACTAGCTTACAGCAAACAATGAACCAGACTATTAAAATGTTGAGCGAGCAACCTTATTGACTGTAGGATCAGCTTGTGACCAATCAGCTTTCATGCATGAACTATTCATTATTTTATCCTTTTCAGAGCATTATGACTGACTTGTCCTCACAGTTTTAGAAATAGCTAATCATATTTAAAGAGTGTGTTTTGCATGGCTGCAGAATGAGGAAAAAAATAGGTCTGTGAAACTTTAAGACCAAGAAAAAGCTTCTGCCAGCTGGTAATGTTGGCAGTGGACTGAACAACTGTGCAAGCAGTGAGCAGTAATCCTGCTATGGCTAGCGCCCATTACCTGACTGTCATCAAATCAGGACTACTGAGTAAACATCCCATCACAATATTTATATTAAAATCAAAGTGGAAATGTTTTTCAGACTGTTCCTATGCTGCTGGGTCATGGTATAAATGTAAAGGTCTGTGCTGGTAAAACATAAATACTGTTAATTAAAAATATATATATTTTTTATATATATTTATTATATAAAATATTTAAAAGATCTTATTTTAATAAAATAAAAAGTAAAAAAATATCATTAATAAACTATTTTAATAAAATAAATTTAATACAATTAAAAAAACTAATTTAAAATATGTTTTCTTGGACAGAAAGAGAAAAAACACAATCACTTTCTTCTAAAAGTGACACAACATGACAGTCTAACATGAAAGTATGCGTGTGTGTTTGTTACAGTAAGTAAAGGAATGTATGAGTCTGTCTGTAAATAGAAATCAAAGCTACAGGAAGCAGCATGGAGGAGAATGCATTGTATCATCAAAGTGTAGCTCTTTCTCTCTAACACACACACACACACACACACACACACACACTGCTGTGAATGTCAGCTGATGCTTACAAATGTATCCAATATGCACACACAGCAGTCGACGGTGAGTAAAAATGTGTGTATTGAGGATGTAGTTAATGATTAGCCATGTTCAGTTTCACAGCTGCTTGTGTGTGTGAAGATCTGGCTGTGTCTAAAAGCGGGGCTAGTTGATTGATCATCTGCAGTAGTGAAAAGCAGGTTACTGCAGCAGCTAACGAAAACACACACACCCGCTCGCCCTGCTCCATTACGTTTCCCTCGTTCTCATTCTCTTCCCTTCCCCCTCCACCTCTATCCTCCATGTTCTAGATTTTTTCTCTCCTTCTTCCCATCATTTCTACTTTCACTAGTTTCTGTTGAAAAGACAAGCACTGCTGGTCAACAGTGCATGGTGTGTTTTGGATGCTGGTATGTTGGTGATCTTACCAATATTTTTAAAGGGACAGTTCACTCAAAAGTAATTCCATTATCATATACTCACCTTCATGTCGTTCTCAACCTGCATGACTTCTTACACTTAAAATATATTTACACTACCCTTCAAAAGTTTGAGGTCGGTACGATTTTTTAAATGTTTTTGAAGGAAGTCTCTTGTGTTCAAAAAGACTGCATTTATTTGATCAAAAACAGTAATATTGTAAAATATTATTGTAATTTAAAATAAATGTTATGTATTTTAATATATACTTATAATTTTAATATAATTTAGTCCTGAGATGCAAAGATGAATTTTCTGCATCATAACTCCAGTCTTCAGTGTCACAAGATCCTTCAGAAATCATTCTAATATGCTGATTTGCTGCTCAAGAAAGATTTATTATTATGATCAATGTAGAAAACAGTTGTGTTGCATAATAATTTTGTGGAAACCGTGATACATTTTTTTAGAATTCTTTGAAAAGTTAAAAAGACCAGCATTTATTTGAAATCGATTTTTTTGACATTATAAATACATTTACTGTTACCTTGATGTGTCCTTGCTGAGTAATGTGTCCTTGCTGACCCCTTTTTAACGATAGTGTGTATAAAAATATATATATTTACTGGAATGTCCATGTAGCTGTTTTATACAAAGCCAGTGGTAATGGGGACAAATTTGTTACCATTCACTTATGGAAAAGAGACTTTTGTGTTCCATGTATGAAATTAGGCAATAAAGGTAAGGAACGACAAGTAAATGATGACAGAGATTTCATTTTGGGTGAACTAGTCCTTTAGCTTAACCACCAAGCCTCCATTTGTCAATCATAATGATGATGCTAGTTGACCAGCATTTTGCCAACCAAACCAGCACTAACCAGCAGAAATGAGCTTTTCAGAATTTTCACTCCATCGTGGATTCATCAGCCTCTCATCTCCTCCTCCTCCAGTCCATATATCTTTCCACATCAACCAACACCGAGCTCTCTCTCTCTCTCTCTCTCTCTCTCTCTCTCTCTCTCTCTCTCTCTCTCTCTCTCTCTCTCTCTCTCTCTCTCTCTCTCTCTCTCTCTCTCTCTCTCTCACACACACACACTCTCTCTCTCCTCTAATTTTCCAATATTTCAAAGCCCAGGGGAATGGAGTAATGGAGTCACATGACCCTGCCCTTCTTTAGAACTGCAATACTACAACACACCCGTCTGTCTCTCTCTCTCTCTCTCTCTCTCTCTGCTTCCCTGTGAGGTGACATTTCAGACGTGCCCTGATGGTTGCTCCCCAAGGTGCTGCTGTGATCTGCCCTGTGTATGAGAATCCGTGTGTGTGTGTGTGTGTGTGTGTGTGTGCTCATTAAGGCATGAGGGAGCCAGCATCCAACCAGACCTCTGCTGTGTATGTAGTGTTGTTTCACACAGAGAGTTCCAGAGGGGGGGGGTGTTTTTCTCTAGGCTAATTTAGGCCATGCGAAAAGTATATCTTTTAGCATACATGTTACGAATAATGTGCAGTCAACCAGTCATAAGGCAATCTACAGATAAATCATCTATTTTATATCCAAGTTAAGAGCTTAAAAAGGCCATGAAATGCTTTATAAAACAGACAAAAAGTCTGCGTTGTCATTTCTAACTGCATGTAAAAGTAAAAATTATGAATAGTGTAGTCTGTATCATGAACAAATTACTCTTTTAATGAATCTGTCAAAAAGAGCCACTCCAATTTTAATGTTCGGTCCTTCACTAAACATAGAAATTATTACACAAAAATATTTGACATCAGAACTCCACCATCGACCAACAGAATCAAGTATTCCAGAGAGTCATCTGACAATTGTTTATATTGACTCATAAATCGAGCAGCTCAAATTATATTTAATTTGGTCTCAGCAGTTTGTATACAAGAGCAATGACATCAGACACCATGTAGTGAGTGTGTTTGTTTAACTCACCCCGTGAGCACCACTACAAAGTCCATCACGTTCCAGCCATTTCTCAGGTAGGAGCCCTTGTGGAAGGCAAATCCCAGCGCAAGAATCTTAATGCCCGATTCAAAACAGAAAATAGCAATGAAATAGGGCTCTGTGTCATCCTGTGAGAGAAAGAAAACACACAGTGCCTGTATTAACAAGTGACTCTCAAATTGTCCTGTGGATACTTGAACAGAAAGGAGCAGATAAAATAATGTTTACATGACAGTGTTAAACTATTCTTTTACTATGTGTGTGTGTGTGTGTGTGTGTGTACCTGATATTCCCTACATTATGGGGACCAAATGGATGGTTTACATCACAAGGATAGTAATACCAGTAAATTTTGACCTTATGGGGACTTTTTTGGTCCCCATGAGGAAAACAGGTTATATATCATACTAAATGAAGTGCATTTGTAAAACAGTATAAAAATAAAGTAAATAAAGTTGATATTGTAAAAATCCAAAAGTCTATGCAATGTCCCCATTTAGATAGCTAATTGTGGGTGTGTGGGTGTGTGTGTGTGTGTGTGTGTGTTGCACTTTACCAGTCGTTCTGACAGTGGAGTTTTGTCTCCATCTGGCAAGTGTTGTTCAAGAGCCAGTACGATGCAGTTGGCAATGATGGTGGTTAAAATCATCCACTCAAACGGAGTAAGAGGCAAAGTTAAGGCTCACATTAAACATATTTATATTTCAAAAGTATTTTTTACCATAATATTAAAATCACCTAGCCATCATAAAAATGTATGAACTTATCTATGCAATGTCACAAAAATAACCAAATATAATGTCAAAATATTAATTTTATTATACTATAATATTACTTGAAATAGTATTAAAATTAATATTACAACAACAAATCATGCACATAATTTTTTCCGCTTGCAGAGTTTGGATAAACCATGTGCGTTCAAGTGTAAGTGATAAGGAGCTGTAGGCCTGGGCTCACACATACAGTATACATACAAAAATAAACACACACACACACACACACACACACACACACACACACACACACACACACACACACACACACACACACACACACACACACACACACACACACACACACAGGGCTGCAGGGCTGTATAAAACAGATGAGTGTGGACAGATTCAGCCTGGCTGTAATAGAGCACTCATTATCCAGTTACTGTGTGTCTCTTTACCAGCTGCCACTGGCACTGATACCACACACACTCTCAGCACTTGCCATAACCGCTTATGTCATGCATGTGACATACAGATAAGCACACATACAAAAACACATGCAGTCTGTGTGATGACTGCTACACACTTGGGTAACATTTTAAGTTGATTAATTACATGGATAAACATGTTTGCATTACACTATATGATGACAAGCATACATCTACATTCAAACTATTATAAAGTTCATAAAACTTTGATACTATATGTACTGTGCATATTTAATATATTTCAATACATTACAAAAACTTATTCTTAATCAGTATTTTTGTCTTGTTTTCTAGTAAAAATATCCAAACATACATTTATTCAAGAAGTTTTAGAAGATAAGACAAAAAAATATATGTATAATTATTAATAATTACTAATACACATTTTTCTTAACCTACTGATTATTCTTAAACATAAAACCTAAATTTTGTAAGATTTAGGCTAAATATAATATAATATAATATAATAATAAAACTGTTTGTTTGCCACCAAGTGTTAGTTTTCCTACATCTTGAAACTTTTAGTTTTACAAATGGGGACAATCTTTGTAGGATGAACAAACAACGTTTTTGGTCATCACATTAAAATAACATAAAATAAATAAATAATTGAGCTTTGAACTGCTGGAAAAATTAGTGTGAAGCACTTGAAAGTTCTAAAACGTGCTTGATTTTCATTCTCAAAAGGCTGTACGAACCCTGAAATGAATAATGTATTTCTGCCGCAATACCATGGTTACAGTTAGCACTACTAGATTAAATCCATGGTGAATGTTGGTGATTTGTGGACTGGAAACCCTTCTAGCTTGTTCATTAATGGCAAAATGTTTCTCCTGGATACCGCGTTGATCTGATATGGTTTATAACAAAGAATTCTGCATCCAATTTGAATGCTTCTCACTAGATCTTGCAGCGACGTTATTAATTCTGTGGCGAATTCAAACGCTTTCACACTGGATCTCCCAGCCCTGTGTAGTAACAGTGTTGTGTGATCAAAGATCGGCTCGCGAGTACCTGTTCTGAGCTCGCAATGCATTGTCTATTATTGCTCCGAGCTAATAATCTATCCGAGAAGCGCAATAACAAGTACAAGGGTTTCGTTCCGCTTTCGTTTCGCTTGCTGTTTGATGTTTCTCATATGCAACAGAAATGGCAGTTCAGGGCTGATGACCTCGAACAAAATTTAGTCACATCAGCAGGAAAAAGTTTGCAAAATGCATCCATTTGGTCGCAGTCTGCAGCCCTGCATATGAACATGCCACCAGAATTCACATCAATCTGTCTGTATACTGCATGTAAAGTACAAAAAGAGCAAACACAGACCTCTTAGAGACACAAGCTCACATCCTGACTAAGTCCTTACACACAAACACACTTATGCTTATTCAGAGCTCATTGAACTCACCAACACACAGTTAGCTCAGGGCTAACACGGCTAGCAGTACAATGCATGCTGGGAGACATAAAGTGGTATCCATGGCAACCACTCGAGCGCTGAAGTGAGCATGTGCAAGAGCGGTTGTTCTGAGAAATGAAATGCGAGCATTTGTGCAAACCCTTCACGGCAGAAACCACAGACAGAGATGCTGCAGAGTGCTGCACACTAAACTACTAAACAACTGAAACCTTCCTTTCTCATTTCAACAGTCTTCTCTCTTGTTCTGTTTCTGTACAAGGGTAATTGAGAGAGAGAAGGAGAGAAAAATAAGATAGGGAAGGACAACAGTGAGAATGTAGATGTATTTAAATGAGGAGGAAAAGAAAAGGAAAGGCAGGGAGCGCTGGCAACAGAGAAAGAGAGAGAGAAGAGCTGTGAAATGGAGAGTTGGCCAGCATCTGAGAGAGTCTACTGCATCTCTCCATCAGCAGTTTAAATGTGTATTAGACTAATAAGAGGTAGTGATGGTGCCAGGTCCCTCTTTCAATCTCTTTTGCTTTAATTAAAAAGTCTGCGCACAAATCCAACACAGCCAAATATATACAATGGTTTCCTTCTAAATAAGGTATATTTGTCTCTTCTTCTCAAAAACATACATGCTTATAGCTACACAGTAATAATAATAATAATCTTTTTGGTTTGTTTCAGTATCTAAATAGCCTTAAACGGTGATGAATTTACTTGGTTTCAGAAAATTCATCTTAAATTACGGTTTGCAATTTATTCTTGTTTTAAGCAGGAATCCATTAAGGATGTCCCCAATGAGGCTTTGTTAGATTCCGCTAACTTCTAAAAGGCCATTTTTTCCTTTAAATATAACTTTTTTTAAAGGTGTCCTTCAAACCTTCCCATGACCACCTATTCTTGTCCCTACTTTCCCATCACCTCACACACACTGTACACTCCCTCCCATGAGCACACTGCATTATAAAGCATCAGCATATTAACGCTCGACTGCTCACAACTAAAACCTCCATATTACATTATCAGAAAGCAATCCAGAGGAGAGGAGAGTCGTCTAATACGGTCAGTTAGACCTCCAGGCTTCAGAAACTTTTCATGGGCATCGTTTAAAGGACAACGAGTCACAAGACCTGCATTGTCTGCACCCTCCATTACGTCATTGTGCATTCCTTTATTGAACTCAACTTTAGTCATATTTGTAACAACCCTTGTTGCCAACTGAAACTGAAAAGGACTGACCTTTAGTTTGTGTGTGCAAATGTTTAATCTGAAAAACCAAGCTCAAATTAACACTTCTGCCACTTCCTGCAAGAAATAACAGTGAGAACTTCATTGTAAATTTGACCTTTGAGTTGACAGCACTTTGTTAGTTAATGACAAGAATTACACATCTTGTAACTGCATGGGTTTGATGGACATGTACGTGTTGGCCAGGGTTTTTCTATCTTTTTTTATTTTTGAAGGGTTTCTGCGCTCTAGATTTGAGCTGACTGTGTGCTTTAGGGGGAAACAGAGCTGATGAGATAAACACAACTCAACTGAAATAAAACAAACAACCTTACAAATTGAATGAAAGAATCCACAAGACTCAGCAAGGGCTCTCGCCAACTCGCTTTCCCATTGTCTTTGGCACACCGTGGTCTTCCTGTCTCCATCTTTGCATTTTCCTTTCCTCTTCGATTGCTCAGTTTTTCCTGCAGAGGGACCTGAAGCGAGTGTGTGTGTGTGTGTGTGTGATCCATCATGCTAAAAAGCCTTCAGTTATGAATTCCCCCTCCTGTTCCATATACGCTACACTAAAAATAGATACTGACAGATTAAAGAGTCTGCTCCTCTCCTCCTTGAAACCCATTTCTTTCACTCTGTCGCTCTATTTTCTGTATTTTATTATTTGTGACGTTAAATTCTACTGCATCCTGCTGCGTTCGGGTCTTTAGAGGTCTAAGTGACTCTTGATTCACAGAGATTTGTTCGTTGCTCCACTGTCATAGTGCCCTCTTCTCTCATTTCCCCTCTCTCTCTCTCACTCTAACGCACTCTCTATAGCTTTCTTCCTCCATCATGGATTCCTTTAATGGTTTTCATTGCGGTAAGCCTGTGTTAGACACTGAGCTGACTGCTGGATGCTAACTGCACGCTCATGAGGGCTGGTTTACTGATGCAATATGCAGAAAGATCCTGATTCGGCAGCTGGAGTAACATTACATTCAAAACCAACACACTCATGTAAACAGTCTGCTCTAATACATCTAAAACAGGGATAGGTCAACTAAAATTTAAATTATGTCATCAGTTATTCACACTCATGTCATTCCAAACCTGTGTGACATTCTTCTACGGAGCACAAAAGATATATTTTTTTAAATGTACAATAGCCAATGTTGGTTTGGACCCCATTGACTTTCATTTTATGAACAAAAACAGTGAATATCCCTTTACGTACTGCTCTAGATTCCACTCTAGATCGAACAGAGAGATGGTATCAATATCTCATTGACATTAGCCAGAAAAAAATGTCTTAATTAGTTTCCATTTACTGTAAATCTGTCCAAATTTGAAATGAAATCATATTGGAAAACAATCTAATTCAAAATCTAAACTAATTTCCTAAACTAATCTAAACTAAACTAAATTGTGTGTGTGTGTGTGTGTGTGTGTGTGTGTGTGTGTGTGTGTGTGTGTGTGTGTGTGTGTGTGTGTGTGTGTGTGTGTGTGTGTGTGTGTATATATATATTGTTACCCTACCATTCAAAAGTTTGGGATAAGAAAGATAATAAGAAACATAATAAGAACACATGAACAATTGAAAACCAAAACAAAACTGATAATAATTGAACACCAAATCAGCATACTACAATAATTTTTGAAAGATTGTGTATTTTTAAATTAATTGCAACCCTGCAACTAAAACAAGCTCAGTTTTATTTGATTATTTTATTAAAAAAACTGACCCAACACTGTGTGTTGGTCAGATTCCACTGAGCAATCCAAACACCTGGTGATACACACACACGTGTCTCTGCTTTACATAGAAACAGCAGCACACACCATCC